GTTTAAAGCCGGATTTGGATACAAAAAGATTTCCCAAGCTTTAAGCATCCCAAGGAGCACTGTGCAAGCAATCATATTGAAATGGAAGGAGTATCAGACCACTGCAAATCTACCAAGACCCGGCCGTCCCTCTAAACTTTCATCTGGAACAAGGAGAAGACTGATGAGTGATGCAGCCGAGGCCCATGATCACTCTGGATGAACTGCAGAGATCTACAGCTGAGGTGGGAGAGTCTGTCCATAGGACAACAATCAGTCGTACACTGCACAAATCTGGCCTTTATGGAAGAGTGACAAGAAGAAAGCCATTTCTCAAAGATATCCATAAAAAGTGTTGTTTAAAGTTTGTCACAAGCACCTGGGAGACACCAAACATGTGGAAGAAGGTGCTCTGGTCACATGAAACCAAAATCCAACTGTTTGGCCACAATGCAAAACGATATGTTTGGCGTAAAAGCAACACAGCTCATCACCCTGAACACACCATCCACACTGTCAAACATGGTGGTGGCAGCATCATGGTTTGGGCCTGCTTTTCATCAGCAGGGACAGGGAAGATGGTCAGAATTAATGGGAAGATGGATCGGGCCAAATACAGGACCATTCTGGAAGAAAACCTGTTTGAGTCTGCAAGAGACCTGAGACTGGGACGGAGATTTATCTTCCAACAAGATGATGATCCAAAACATAAAGACAAATCTACAATGGAATGGTTCACAAATAAACGTATCCAGGCGTTGGAATGACCAAGTCAAAGTCCAGACCTGAATCCAATCGAGAATCTGTGGAAAGAGCTGAAGACTGCTGTTCACAAACGCTCTCCGTCCAACCTCACTGAGCTCGAGCTGTTTTGCAAAGAAGAATGGGCAAAACTGATAGAGACAAACCCCAAGAGACTTGCAGCTGGAACTGCAGCAAAAGGCGGCGCTACAAAGTATTAACGCAAGGGGGCCGGATAATATTGCACGCCCCACTTTTCAGTTTTTTATTTGTTCAAAAGGTTTGACACATCCAATAAATTTCATTCCACTTCACGATTGTGTCCCACTTGTTGTTGATTCTTCACAAAAAATTAAAATTTTATATCTTTATGTTTGAAGCCTGAAATGTGGCAAAAGGTTGAAAAGTTCAAGGGGGCCGAATACTTTCGTAAGGCACTGTATATTATAAAAATCGTTCCTGTCTCACAGATAAACGTTTTGTAAAATTTTGCAAAACCAAAATGCTTCAAAAATGCAAGTTAGAAAAAGCAGCAAGAAAATTTTATTTTACTTTTTGTTGTATTTAAATAATATATAATTTGGTAACTCAAGTGTGTTTTTATAGCACGTTTCAATATTTTACTTTTGTGTGTGTGTTTCAGGTATAAGGTTCAAGGTCCTTTATTGTCATTCTCATCACATGTGGGACATGAGGTGGAATGAAATTGTGTACTCAAGGTCCCAGTTGCAACCAACAATAGCAAAAATATAAAATATAAAAAGTAAACAAGGATCTTAAGATATACGCTAAACACTAATAAGTAAAATAATACGGTACATTGAACAGCAGCCTGAACGTAATTTTAGTCATGAGAAATTCATTTCAGATGATGTTTCAATTATCTTAATCTTCTAAAACATTTCTGGCTGGTTAGGGATGTGTTGTTGCTGTAAGTTTTGAACAGTCCTGTAAATAGTTATCAAAATCAACCTCCTGAAGTTAATCTCGGATTATTTTCCACCAGTTATCTAAGATAAACTTGATATTAATGGATTCTTTTATGACAATTTTTGAATCCTGATAAATAAATGATCATATTGTTGCCAAATTTTCTTAAAACTTCTTTTTAGTTTTTGCTGAATCTAATGAGGCCAAACAGTTAGTGCTGACTGTTTATAGCACCTATTTGTCTCCTTGTTCATTTTTTATAAACTCAAAACTTTAAAGCTTTAGGTATATTATTAGTAAGAGCAAACACAACAATAAGAAAATGCTGTAGAAGTTACTGTAAAATGTGACTTTTGTTAACTGAAAACCCAATCAACAAAGTTAGTTGATGTCGATCAGATGTTTGACAGAACCTTTTAGTCGCTGCGTCACACCTCTACTGGTCCCACAGGACGACCACCCACCTCCTCAGAGCCTTCCTGTAGATTAGTGTGAGTCCGTCTCTCCCCTGTGAGCTCAAAAAGTCGTCCTCGCACTGCCCCGCCCTTTGAAAAATACTCAATCATCTCTGCCCAGGAATGGATTTGAAACTCCTGTGTTTTCTGTGTGCCTTGTGCATAATTAGAATGTGTTGGTGCTGCTGCACTTTTTTATTCAGCAGAATTCTAATGTTGTACTCGTTTGCTGTTGTTTAAACTTTATATTCTATACTGAATTTAAAAGGGCATGGGGTGCCAAGGAAAATGAGCGAGAAGCGAGCATTAACATGTGGGAAAACGTTACATGCTCAAATGTTGACTACCTGTTGCTATGGTGATGCGTTTGGATCCTGCGGGCTGCAGGACTCTTGCTATTTCTAAATAAAGCTATTTTTCACACTGATCTGTGGATGAAGATACTCACAGATGAAGCTAATCCTCTGAATGGTATCAGTCAGTTTAAACACTTAATACTTTCTGCTAAATGTCCTTAACAACAGTTATGAGATTAAAGATAAGATGATGCTCAATAAAGAACATGTGTTTCACTCAGACAGAAATCCTTAGAAATCCCTCATTCTCAGTTCTGCCATGTGTTTATGACAGCAGCAGTAGTTTAAAAAAACGTGAACTAAGGCTTCTTTATGTATCTTGATGCAAACAGTTACATTTGTCACAGGTTATATCAGAAGTTTTCAAAAAAGGGACAGCTTAATGGCCTTTCTGTACTCGTCTGTAGTACATATGGCTAAAACTCAGGGTAAATATTTTCCATTGTCTTTGGAATAAACCCCCGTAAGTGATTGTATTTATTCAATAACTACAACAGAAGGATTAAAATGCCTTTATATAAATGGATTGAATATATTATTTTTAAATACCAGAACTACTAGGTGCAAAAGGCAGTTTGTCTTTTCCTAAAGAGAGAACATTGTTGTGTTTTATCCTCCATTCTGAGTCCTTCTGCACTGTTCATTCAGTCTTTAGGGGGAAATGACATACAAGGGGAACTGAAAACACATCTTTTGTCTTGGTTTGCTGTCTAATAACTCAGTACCTGTGTCATCCTGTGGGGGGCGCCTGTGTGCAGAGGAAAAGAAGGACCCAAAGAGGCGCTCAGAGACCACATACTCCTTGTTTGCGATGGGGGACTTCCAGTCTTACTTCAAGTGGGTTTTGGGCCATTTCACAGACAACATATTTAGTCCTTTTACCTCCCACTCAAGGATGCAGCCATCTTTTTGTGAATAACCCAAGTTTATTAAAGACACATGCCTGTGTGTGTGTGTTTGCTGTGTGTGAAGTGTCTGACTGTGTGCTTACTGAGGATGAGGGAGTTCAACATTAAAATGATATGGTTAAAAAGAAAAGGAAAAAGCTTATGAAAAAATACCTGCACTTCATATCCAGTGACATGATGTCTGTTTCTAGGCAACAGGTAGTTAATATACAATTAATAATATGGGAAATTGGAAAATCTCTCTGTGGTTTAATCTGCCTGGAGCTGATTTGTGTCTGGGATATTTTTTCTTTGTTTTATATATTAAATATAAAATAATATCTTTCATGTTTAACTTTGACTTATTTTAACCAACAATTATGATGGTTCTAGACTCTAACGTTAAGTTTAATAAACCGATTAACTCTGTTCTACAAAAAAAAAAGCTTCTTCCAGTTAAGGCAGATAGTTAAGCTTAAGTTCATGTTGACCAGATCTGATCTTGAAACATGAGTCCATGCATTTTTTACAACCCAGCTAGACTAACACACTTTATGTTGGGGTCAGTCAGGTCTCCCTTTCACGTCTCCAGCTCATCCAAAATGCTGCAGCTCGGCTCTTAACAGGAACTCGTAGGTTTCAGCACATTTCACCAGTTTTGTCCTCCCTTCACTGGCTCCCTGTGTCAGAATAGATTTTAAAATTCTCCTGTTGGTCTTTATTTGCATTAATGACCTTTCACCCTCATACCTCTCTGACCTCCTTCAACCTTATGTTCCTTCTCAGGCACTGAGATCATCTGACCAGCTGCTTTTGGTTGGACCAAAAACCAGGTTGAAGCTCAGGAGGCTTTTTCAGTCATGGGCTCTAAACTGTGGAAGAATCTGTCCTCAACATTAGACAGGACACTTCACTCCCTGCATTGAAATCTCTCCTAAAAACACACCTGTATCCACTGATGTTTAACACAGTGTGATCTGATTTAGTATTTCATTGTTTCTCTTTGCTTTTGTGTTTTTATTTTGATGCTTTTAATTGGGAGTGGTGGTGCAGAAGTTAGAGAAGGTGAGCCTGTAATTGGAAGATCACCGGTTCAAATCCCGGTACAGACAACATCAAAATGTGGGTGGGATAGGTAAAGCACCCACACATGCCTTCACCCTCATTTGTCTCACTCTGGGTCCTTGAGGAAGGCCCTTAACCCCCACCATCTGTTCCCCTGGGTGCCTTAGATGTCAGCTCTCTGCTCCACACAGAGGGCTGTGGTAGCTCAGTGGTCTGTGGTTGTGTCAGGAAGGACATCCAGTGTAAACATAATTGTCAGGTCTTCATGTGACAGTTCACTGTGGTGACCCCTGAAGAAGAGAGCAGCCCAAAGGAAAAAAAATAAAAAATTTACGCTTTTAATTACATCTTGTTATTATTTTTATTTAATTACTGCCTTAATCTTATTGTTAAGCACTTTGGTAACAGCTGCTGTTTTAAATGTGCTTTATAAATAAAGTTGACTGACTTGAAAATGCAGCAGATCATCTTGTAAGTTTGGATTTAAGCCACTTGCAACAAACACTTTCACTTCTCAGCCATCACTTAAATGTCAGTTTTTGTTACTTACATGTTTGGTTTGATTAACTCTGTATCTCACTTAACAGAGCAATGTGCTGAAGAAGGGAACCATCCAAGGAAAAACTCTCACTGGTAACAATGGTTTTCAGTATGACATTCCAACTCATTTGCTGTATTTATTAAATCTATTGAAACTGAGTGAACCATGATCAATTTTAGTAAAACGTGTTTCTGGGAGTTCTGTGTATCTTTTACTCTGATCAATTTTCAGTTTTCCAGGCCGATTTTTTGGTAAATGATAAAAATTGTATTACCATAAAATGAAACATGTTTATTTAATACCACTTGCATGGTGTAATTTACCCTTAATTAATTTTTCTAACAATTTCCTGTAGTACATTTATTGTCTACTCGCATGTATAAATTGGGGTGATAAACACAACACTTAAATGCACACTTGGTCACTCCTCCATCACTCTTTCTTACACTTGATTGAAATATTATTTAAACAAAATAAAATTATACAAAAGTATCAGCCTGCTCTGCTAGACAATAAATTGTTCATGATTCATGGTTACAGTTTTATAATTTATAATTGCTGTTAGAGAAAATTCAGATATCTCACATGTTTTTACTAATATTTGATATAACATTACACAAAGTCCCTACATTTATTTAAATTGAAGTAATCCTCTCTAATTCTCCTCTCCAAGCTCTTCTGATGGTCTTTCTTTGTTTCTGTGCTGCAGATTACCATCCACCGACACCGCCTCTGAAGACTGGTTTCCACCGCTACCAGTTCATGTTATTTGAGCAGCCTCCCAGCACGTCGGTGTCCCTCACTGATCAGGAGAAATCTCGTGGTAATCACTCGACTCACCGTGCATCTCTAGTCTGCAACACTTTTCTCCTCTGCTGTATCGTCCAAATTAAATCTCTAAGGAAAATTATCTGCCAACAGTTTGTTGTTGAATCACCAAAATAAGATTACAGCAAGGCATTTAATCCCAGTATCTTGTTTTAGTCACACTTTTATTTTAATTTAAACTGGAGAACTTGCATTTTCTCGAAAATGCAATGTGAATGCTTATTGTTGAAGAACTTGCTGAACAACAGCTGAAATTAGCTAAAAATATGCTGAATTGTAGCTGAAATGGAAGAACAAACCTAAAGTAGCAGAAGAAAGCAGAAAGAACACATTTTTGCTAAATTAGCTTTAAATAAGCAGAAATTATCACAAAATGTAATAAATTAGCTTTAAAAAGCTGAAATTGGCCAAAAGTAGCTGAAAAGGCAGAAAGAAGCTTAAACTACCAGGAGGAAGTAGAATGAACTGAAATAAGCACCAAAAAAAATTGGAAGTAGTTAAAAAAGCAAAATTTAGCACAAATCAGCTAAAAAGTAGCTGAAATAACAGAAAAAGCTGAAACTAGCAGATGAAAGCTGAATGTAGCAGAAATTACCAAAAAATAACATGAATTTATCTGAAAACAGCTGAAATTAGTTGGAAAATGATAAAAAAATAATAAATTTAAAAAAAAAGTAGCTGAAAAGGTAGAACAAGCTTAAATTAGCAAAGTATAGAAAGAACACATGTTTACCCAATTAGACTGAAAGAAGCAGAAATGAGCACTAAAAAGTGGATATTATCTGGGACAAAATGAAATTATCAAAAATATGTTGCAAAGTATCTAAACATTTTAAAAAAGAAGCTTGAATTGCCAGAAGGAAGGGGACGAGAGCACATTTTTGCTGAATTAGGCTGAAAAAATTTGACATAAGTGCAAAAAAATGTGGAATTAGCCGAAAAAGCTCAAATTAGCACAAAAAGAGCAAAATAGTAGCTGAAATAGCAGAAAAAGCTGAAACTTGCAGAAATTAGCTGAAAGGAACATAACAAGCTGAAATTAGCAGAAATAAGTTAGAAGAAGCACAGAAATGTTGTAGTTGGCAAAAATAATCTTAAAAGGAGCACAAAACAGCTGAAAAAAACAGTGGAAATTAGCTGAAAATTGTTTAATTTGCACAAGGAAGCTGAAAGAAGCTGAACCAGAATGAAAAGTGAAAGGAACAGTAAAAGGTTATAAACAGATCTAAAGATTTGAAGGATGTAAAATGAGCTCAGTTCCTTTTCTATAAGGAAAAAAATGTGGCAGAAAGGCTAAATATTTCAAAAAGCTAAAGTTGCACCAATACCAAAAGTTATAGCACCCTTCTCCTGAACAAACTGAATATTTCTGATATATGATTTGTTAAAATAGCACAAAAATTTGGGAAATGTATGGAAGAACAGTGGACCACAATAGTGTGAATGCTGCATAAACATTCACACAATAAAAGGTTCAGGCACATGTAGCAAAGGCTTTGTGTTTTTAAATATAACGTTGATTATTTTTAAGGTTTTGTTACATTTGGAGCTGTTTGTGGTCGATATTTTGGTATAATTGATTGAACTCCAGAAGGAAGATGTTGATGAGGTTAGTGAGTGAGTCTACTGTCTGTAAGGGTCAAGTTTTTCCTGCTCCCACGCACACCTGCACGAGTCCATGCGTCTTTAACCCTCGTCAAACCAGAACTCCCCAGCCAGCCCCGTCAGTGCACATGAACAGACAGCTCAGTCCGAACATTAATTACTGTTGATGTCATTACCATATCTTTGTTTTGAGTCTCTCAGAAGTCTGCCTTTTTTTTTGTTGTTGTTGTCTTGAAGTGTTTTTGTTTAGTTTCCACATTTCTTTCCCATTGTCTGAAGTCTGTGGGAAGGTGGAAAACAGCACTTCACCGCGGCACCTCACAGGAGGCGTGTCTCTCTGTCGGTTCTACTCGGGTCACAGCCGGTGATTTGAGGGAAGATCGGGGCGGTTTGAGACTTCAAGCACGGCGGCGGTGAATAAGCGGTGCTGCCAGTCTCTGCTGTTTGAAGTTTTGACAGCTTTGTCAGCAAAACAATCCAGACACATTAGGCTGAAGTCTGCTTGATGCTACAAGTTTTGGAAAAAGTAATGTCAAAGGAAATGTTTGTTTTTGTTATTTTTTTTGTAACCCACTCACATGTAGAAAGGTTGAAATGAACCTTCACGTGTTAAGGTATTTGCTGCAGGTTAAGCTGAAAAAAAAAAAAAAGAAAATCATAGGAATATACTGGAGCGTTTTCTGCCTCCAGTACAATTGTTGCCCCTGATAATGAAGCCAATGACATGAGTGGATCCACCCATCCTAAACCTAATGGATGAGCTTGTAGCGTTTCCTCCCTCCTGCAAACTGTTCACTCTGTTCAAAGGAAATTAAATTAAGAAATTCACTCTCAGATAATCAAATGTTTCACTTGATGGGTAAGTGACGAGTCCTTGTGGAGAGTGTGATGAAAAAATGTTCTGTGTAAACGTTGAGAATAAAAATCTAGTGCTAGTTTAGTAACAAAACGTCTGTTTAATCCCATGTTTTAAATGTATTTTATATTTAGTGATACCTGCTGTGTTGTCGTTGACCTTCCCAGGCCTGGGTACTGTGCACGATATGCAGACTTGGAGGGAATCCCATGTCTCCCCACCTCCTCCGTTAAGTATGTTCTCTTATTAGCATCTGTCCTCCCTCCATGTGGTGTGACACAGAGAGGATTTTTCATAACCGATGACATTAATTGACGTGATTTGTGAAGGGAGAGCGTTTAGTCGTGGGTGGAGGGCTCCTAATGATCGGTTTCCACTTCCAGCAGTGGAGTCGTTGACTCAATTTTATTTCAGATCTGTTGTCTTTTTTCTTTTCATCTCTGACCATCACTTAAGTAATAAGCAATGGCCAGAGGGACTGAACAATTAGAGGTGGAGCAGAGCTGTTGTAAGAACCGTGGGAGTCTGCCGTGCCTCCTGGGTTAAGGTTATGAATGTGGGTCAGTGAACTGATGGAGACAACTGGTTTGTTACATAAGGATCTACAGGGGGGCTGAGCTCTTGGCACTGGGCACATGGGCGTTATTATAGGGAATCCCCATTGCTCTGGCTCAGGAAGGCTGTCCCTGACTGGAGGCTGCCCCCTGTGCCAGGGTGGGTGGGTGGGGAGGAGGGTGCTCAGACCCTCATGATGCTTGTCAGCTACTTGGCAAAGCTTTATTATGTCCTGCTACTGTTTGGTGCCGACAAGACCGTTTGTCAAGGGAAACAGTGTTACAATGCCGGGAGGGAAGCCCCGAGGCCTTTAGAGAGGCTGTCTAGTGTTGTTTCAGTTTACATGATACACTGCACACACACACACACACACACACACACACTGTTCACACACCCAGCCCTCTGTCTCCTGACCCCAACAGCCCCCTTAAACTGCTGAAAAACAAAAGCTAAAAGTCACAAAAAACGGACTAAGTTCAGAATGATTGGCTGAATAAAAAGGAAACTGGAAGTATCGATTAGATTCCTGCTTCACTTTTTATTTCCATTTATTTGCGGTGAATTGTAAGGAGAGGGTGCGCGAGATGATCACGTGTGAAAGAATGGATCACAGTGGCTTTAGCTGCCGGATCGTACGCGTTGCTCATCTTGCCTCCTGGAGCCCGTACTGCCAGCTCAGCACACTCCACAGTAATTGAAGCCATTTGCAATGTTGCAGTGTTGTAATGGGCAGATCCATGTCTACCACCCACCCACAGTCACTACCATTAATCAGAGCTGCGCAGAGTCAAGAGAGCCAGGATTTGGTTGCTACAGCAGGCCTGACTTTCAGCCAGGAGTTGGATGCTTTAAAAGAAACAGGATGACATCCTAAGCTATGGCTGGTTTAAACTGTTTATATTTGTTTGTTTGTTTGTTCTTGACAAGTTTGAGATTCGTTGGTTCTCTTCGTGAACAATAAATGTATCAATGATTTTACTAAGGAAAGCTTACTTTTATTTTTTTTTTTATATATAATTCTAAGTTAGTTTTTTGGATTTGTCATAACTCAAGACACGGACCACATTGTAATGACAATGTCCTGATGCATGCTCAGTAATCCAGACAGATAAATCTAACAAGGTTGAGTCAGGTCCTCTGGACGAGTTCTTCTTGTAATGAAACTAATGACAATAACACAGAGCTGCTGCGCTTGAAGCAGTTCAGTGAAAGCAGGATCATTCAGTCAACAGCACACTGATCATTACCTGCAGTGGAAGTCCACACAACCCCTTTGAGAGCTTACCATAGGTAGTCACATCAAAAACATTTCATTGTAATTGAAGAAACTGCAACATTTACATCAAAAGACCAAAAATTGTTTTTTTTTCCTTTCCACTGTTGCCTTTCAGCTTGCTTTAGATGAGAGTCTGTGATGGAGTTAAATTCAAAGCCGTCTGCTCCTCAGATAAATAATGTTGTTAACTTACTTTTATGTGTATGAATGTTTCTGTTCAGTGCCCTGAAATGACTTCTGTTGTGACTTGGTGCCATATAACTAAACTGAATTGAATTGAAATGGTCTAAAGCTTCCAAGGATCAGGTTGCATGTTTGCGCACACTGAACAAAAACATTGTTTTATTTATAATCCTCACTGTTTTAGGCAAAGATTAAATTGGCTCAGCCCATCTTCATTTAGTTTTATACTCTCTCAATGTAGTATTCAGAAATGATCAGATTAGTGAGGATCGTATTACAATTAAAGCACTTATCAGGACTTTTCTCAGGTTTTCCACTGGATTCATGTCTGGATTTTGACCTGTTCAGTTCAGAGTTTTATCATGCTTTGAGTAAAGCCATTAATTTTAGATTTGAATATTCATATTCAATTCAATTCAAAAATACTTTACTAATCCCAAAGGGAAATTAACTGTTGTTGTAGCTCATCCAGGTTTCATTAGAGTTGTTCTAGATGCTGATGACTTTGGGCAGGAAGGATCTCTTGTAGCAGTCCATCCCACAGCGGATCCTAAGAAACTGTTTGCAGATGCCAATCCGTCCACCCAGACCCAGCAGATCTCTCAGTCCTTTTGGGCAGTAGGACTGCCTGAATGCTGGGCAGAACTCCTCCCAGAGCGATGGCCATTTCTCCCAGCAGCCTGCCAAGCCCCTCTTTGCCACAGACTTAACTGCAGGTACCAGGGGACAATCTCTGTTCTCCCGCAGTCACGAGCCACATTTCCCGCTACCTCCATCATCTCAGCGGCCAGGCACTCGAGCACTGCCTCCAGTTAGACGGTAATGCATCCATGGCACCTCCTTTTCAACTCATTTGGGATTTGGGGCTGTAGTTGAGGTATTATTTGAGCTTTTGAGATGTTAATCAGCAGCTCCCAGTTGTAGAAAACCACCTTGTTGTCATGGTTATGCATCATAACAAATGTCCAAAAGTAAAAAAAGTTTCAGTAAAAATCCTTCTAGCACAGTATCTGATACCAGAGGAAGTAATCATCCGAAAAAAACGATTTACATCCAGAAAAAAGAGGAATTAAAGTTTTCAAAAGCAAAATCTCAGAATGAATGTAAGAGAGCTGCTCCAACATGCAGCCACCTTGAGCGGCGCCGTTCTGGAACTTGTTTACCGTGTTTACCATCTTTGCACTAACATTGGTTAGTATTTAGATCAATTCAAATTTTTTGCCTCCCATTATCATAAGAAGATGCTGCCACCAGTAAATATCCTCGTTATGTTCTTTTGGTCATAAGCTGCAGTGTTCTTGTTCTAGAATAAAAAAGTTGGAGGTTGGTTAGAACGTTTCATGTTGCTCTTTACAGTATTTGGAACCAAAATGTGTCTTTTAGCTAAATTTAGTTGAGCTTGGATGTTTTTTATTTCTCATGTCAAAAAGAATTCTGCCCTTTTACGCTGCCCCTTAGTCCCGACATACAAAGAATGCAGGAGATTGTTGTTGCATGCGGTGCGCAGTAGATGTTTGCCAGAAAGTCCTGCTGTTCTTTTTGTGTTGCCACAGGCCCCTTGACAGACTCCCTGACCAGTTTTGTCTTCGTCCACTCGTCAATCTCGGACCAACGTCATATATAACTAGTGTGCCACACTTGTTGATAATTGTCAGTATTGTATGTTATGTTATAGTTTTTGCCGTTAGTGGCATTTTGTAACTAATTCTTGACTGAAATGAGATTCAGACGAAGCAGCCAAGAAGTTATGAGCTGATCCCATAAAAACAGCTGAACTTTAGAGTATAATTGACTGCAACAGTGTGCTATGCACTCTTTAAACAAAAACAAAAAAACTTAATTTGTTTTTCAGTGAAATCTCAGTAGGTTTCTTCTCCAATGTAATAGCTTTACTCCGTTTAGCAAAATAGGGCATTCAGTATTTTAAAACTTTATTACTAACTTTTTCAACTCTTTGCTTCCCTGTTGTCTTGTTGAATCTCCTGATTGATGTGTTTGTGAAAGGGTGAGTGCAGGTTTTAGAGCAAAGGAGCTTTGAGTGGTCAACAAGATAAGAAAAGCAGTGTATAATTGCAATTCATTTTACTCTAAATCAACAGGTAAGCTGTGCAGCATTGGCTGAAATCCTCTACGGCTGGAATCTGTCCTGCTGATGGTTCTCTGAGCAAGACACCTTTATTGTCCAGTAGCTGAACCCTGACCTCACAGCAACAAAAAAACTAGGATCATAAAATAGTAATTGCATTATTCATTCGTTAAACCTCATATGAAGAACCTCACTTAGGTTCTTACCCTGATATGGTTTCTTTGACTACTGCAAGGAAAAAGATTACTGGGGTTTTGAGTATTTCCGAGACACTGTAAGAGGTTTAACAGGGACACCGCCCACACCACTAAATGTAGCAGTTCTCTGTCACCTCGCAGCGGTCCCGATCTTCCTGCCATAGCCAGACGGAGAAGCAAGGTGGAAACAAAAGGAGTGGCAGGAAGAGACTTTAACATTGCCCTCAGGTCCCACACTATCTGTCCTTTCCATGAACGTGCAGATGGGAGAGGCGGAAACGTGTCTCTGCACCACAAACAAGCACCAGCCTATTTTAAGGTCACTTGTAAGTCTCAGGGTATCAGCCAGTGTGATAGCTCCTAAGATTGTGAATGTGTCTCATTTTGGATTGAGCTCAATGATTGCACAGCTTTAGACAGGATTAAATGTGAAGCCTTATAAGCACTAGCTTATTTTGACTCTGTTTCATACTTATTAGAGGAAATATTGCCTAACACTGCTGCAAGGCATGTTATTCCTGCAAAAAAAAGGGGGAAAGTGTCTGAGTGTTTATGAATCACTGTCATAATTTTAAAATCTGCCACATGATTCGTCAGGTATGTCCCAATAAAATTGTCTCTTTGCTGCATCACCCTTCAGCTTTCTTTAAATTGTAACCTCTAAGGGGCGACTAACCTTGTTGTGGACATGCAGAGGAGTTTGGGGATTTGCAGAGGCGGTGCATTATCTGAGACTGAAGCAAAGGCCGGAAGGGGGCTGCTGGGGCGGTGCCCTATCATACAGACAGGTCACTTGACTCCATTGCCCTCCCATGATTATTGGTGGCCTTTCGGCAGGCAGTCTTCATTCACAGCGAGGACCTGAAGAAATTCAAGTACTCATCTGCTCATCTCCTGGTTATTATTCATCTTCCTCCCCAGCTGTGCTCAGAACATGACCTGAACCCATGGCCAACCCAGTCACATGCAGGTGTCGGCCCTTAAGCTAAAGATGTGATCGAAAAAAATTGTTTCGCAATAAAACTGCTGTTCAGGGTCGTTTTATTTGTTAAAGCTGGATAAGTAAATAAATGTAATGTATAAAAACTGGC